GCCTGTGAAGTTTGAGTGTCCATACAGAGGGCACCAGAGGCTGAAGACATTGACAAACCTCCTCCTTCATTGCTTTGCACAAATGTCTTAACATAACACCAGACATTTTAAAATCTACTTAGGGGAAAATCCTGAGAGAGCTATTGCTTTGTTGGGAATCTCTAATTGCAAACTTCCTTCCCCTCCAGATGGGAAACAGCAAAGCCCAAGGTCTGAGAACTTCCAGCTTTGCAGGACAGGTGGTTGTTCACCTCTCAGACCTGCTTCTTTTGAAAGGCACTAAATGAGGAACATTCAGTGATAATATTTAAGATTTTTCAAAGCTTGCACTTCATGGTCAGGAGCTCCCAGAATGCATCCTTGCCATCTGGAACTGTTATTAGCTAGTTAGTAGCTGTGTCACCATAATGATATATTATCTGGTAATGAGAGCCCAGCTGGCTGCACACGTTTTGAAGACTCAGGCTCTGTGAGAAATTGTACATACAGATAGTGAGTGGGTCCCCAAAGGGGACTGGGGTGGTGGTCAGCAGTGGGAGGTGGGAAGATCTTTCTGGTACTGTATTCTCAAAGCCTCCCATTATCAGAACTCTGACCAGAAGGCAGTAATTTTTGGGGTGGAAGCCACAGCCAGCACAGTGGGACTGTAAAGGGTGGTCTTGGTCTGGACCAAGAAGGCACAGAAGACACCAAAGGCTTTTCTTCTCTCAGCCAGGTGTCCTGGTATTTACCTCCAACTGTTCTCACACATTGAGAAGAAAAATAGACATTTAGGACACTTAACATTTAGGAGTATGGACAGGAGAAGCTACTTGGTGATGCAGCTTTACAGAGAACAGACACTGGGTAGATCCAGACCTGCTTTGCATACACTTTCCTGCCCCCTCCCCATCTGTTAATGATTTTCTTCCTCACAACAGTTGTTACCATTTTTTGTCTAGAAGTTCTCTTTGTTCCCTAAGCAAAACTCAGATCCCTGGCAGGGGAAGACAGATCTACCCCCAAGCCACACTGGCACAAGTGGTGAGTCCCTTTTAACTCTGTGCCTGTTGCCCTGTTACTCCTGTGATGTTCCTGTAGAGAGACAAGAAAATCTGCTCCAGCACTGCCTTGTTGTATCTATGAAGTTTATAAGCCACCAAACAAACAGCCCTGTCCTGCATTGTATTAGACACGTTATTAAACTTCATTTCTGAGGCACAGCCAAGCTCCAGCAGGCAGCCAGGAGCCAGGTGTCTCCTTTGTACAATATAAGCACTTCTGGTAAGCAAAGGAAAAGTAGTATTAAAATACCCTCCTGAGAAATGCTCTGTAATGTGAAGATGGAGCAGCAGGGAGCACAGACAGCTGTACAATCTTTTCTTGATATGACCTTTGGAAATAACAGATAAAGTCGCTGGTAGGTGAATCCCACCCTCCCCTTTGCTGCTTCTGCCTGTAAAGTCACGGGAGAGATTCATGGAGGAGGCTGCAAACTGCAGAGCAATCCCCCAGAGGAGCCATTCAGCTCTGCAAAGTGTCTTCAGCAGAAGCTTGTGAGCCTATTGATGCAGCATTGCCATCAAATTTAATTTAGCAGAAGTCAGAGGGGAAAAACAATATCTGTATCTCTCCAAGTAGGTTGGTCCTTAGAGTAGGATGAATGGTCATCTCCAGGAACTGCAGGCTGAGGTGTGTCAGGCAGGTTGTCTGGTACTTCAGGAGCAACAGGCACCCAGCAGAAGGCTGCCATGGCAGGGGGACATTTCCAGCCCACGAGGAATCACAGAGTTGCTGGAGTTGGAAGGGACCTCTAGAGATCATCTAGTCCAAGCCTCCCACTGAAGCAGGATGACCCAGAGCACTTTACCCAGGGCTGCATCCAGGGGGTCTGGAATATCTCCAGAGGTGGAGACTCCACAAGCCCCTGGGCAGCCTTGTCACTCTCACCGTAAAGAAGTTTTTCCTTGTATTTAAATGGAACTTCCCATGTTCCAGCTTGTGCCCATTGCCCCTTGTTCTGACACTGGGAAGAGCCTGTGTCCATCTTCCTTGCACCCACCCTTAGATACTTGTATACATTGGTAAGGTCTTCCCTGAGCCTTCTCATCTTCAGGTTACACAGTCCCAGCTCCTTCAGCCTTTCCTCAGCAGGGAGATGCTCCAACCCCCCAGTCATCTTTGTCACCCTCCTCTGGACTCTCCCCAGCAGTTCCCTGTCTCTCCTGAGCTGTGGAGCCCAGAACTGGATGCAGGTCTCCAGCAGTGGCCTCACCAGGGCAGAGCAGAGGGGGAGAATGACCTCCCTTGACCTACTGGCCACTCTTTTCTTCATGCACCCCAGGGTTCCATTGGCCTTCTTGGCAGCAGAGCAGCCTGCTGGCTCATGGAGCATTTCCTGAGCCACAACCCTTTCCAGAGGTGGGGTTCCCCTTCCCTCCTCTGCCCATAGCAAGGCTGCTGGGCAGTGGGCTGGGCTGAGCCCCTCTGGGCAGACCTGCTGCTCCCTGCCAGCCCCTGCCCAGCCTGGGGCAGACCCAGCCCCTGCCCCTGCAGAGCTGCTGGCTCTCCCTGTGCTGCTGAGATCCCTGTGCTGCTGAGAACACCCATCTGAACAGGCTCTTCTGGCTGTGTCCCCAGCACCAGATCTCATGGTCATGACAAGAAGAACCAGAAAGCAGAGAAGAAGAAAAAAACAGCTGAAAATAAATCTCAGCTCACCCCGGGGGCTTTCAGTGCCACTTTGTGCAGCACCACTTCTCCCTGTGCTCATCCCCATCCTTTCCTCAGGGTGGGTAACACAGCAACAGCGGGAAACACTTTGAGCTTTCAGAATGTGCTTCTGGAACCACAGAACCTGGCATTTGGACCCAGAGCCAGGTTTAACTCCTTCCCTGATCATTCACTGCTTTAAAGTGTGACTAGAACAGCTGGCACCTGGACAGACCCCTTGGGAAGGGCTTACCCAGGGCAGGAGTGCACATGCTGATGGGGGGCTCTGCCCCCCCAGCCCCAAACCCAGCACTCCCAGGGCTGGGAACATGTTGTCACCCTGAGTCACAGCAAGAAACTTCCAACCAGAAGGAAAAAAAAACACCTCCAATTCCTAGATTTCCAATGGCTGCACAAGCAACAGTTAGAAAATCTGAACATTTCTGGTTTTCTCCCATGATGGTGCTGAAGGAGTCCTGGGCACTGGGGTTTGCTCAGGCCCAGGGGCAGTGCTGGGGTCTCAGCACATGCAGGGCACACAGCTCACTTACTTCATCCCTTCCTCATTACCTGAAGGCTCTGTCACTGCTGGCCCACGTCCCCCCATCCCTCCCTCACCAGTGGCAGCAGAGCCATTAAACCTGCAGGCTGCAGGGCTCCTTCAGCAGCACTGAGCTCTGCTGCCTTTGCCCCTGTGCCCAAACTCTGCTCAGAAACAGAATTTTTGAGTAATTTATGACTGTTCTTGCCACGATCCAGATGGCTTATTGATCTGCTTAATCTAAGCACCTGTGGTTTTGCAGAAGAAAATGCTACCCTTTCTTGTGCTGCTCATTGATGTCCTCCTTTCCTAGAATGAGAATGTGCTGCCTATTACCTTAATTGACTGATTTTTTAACAAGTTTCAGTCCAGCTACAACAAAACTCATCTCAGGAAGCTGCCTCAGCTTGACCTTTGCTCCTCCTCCTCATCTCAGGGCATCTACTGCACATTCTTCCCCCTCTCTCCTCAGGGTGAGCTTGACCATCTCTTCTGACATTTGGCTACTTGGAGCCCAGGCATAAAAGCTGCCAACACTTCCCCAAGTGACCCTCCACTTCAAGCAAAAATCACAATATTTAGGTGTAAGTTGCCAGTCTCATTATCTCAGTGATTTTTTTTTTCTCCTACCTCTGAAGCCAACAGAGGTGCTGCTAAAGAGAGTCCAAAAGAGACAGTCATCAGGCTTTTCATCTGGTTTGTTGGGTTTTTTTCCATTTTTTTTCCCTGATGATAATGACACCAAATGCTGTTCCACAAAGGAGATGCCCGGGCTGCAAAAAGCAGAGAATAACCCACCATTGCCATTAACTGCAACCACATTTTCAATCATTTCTTAGGAAACAGCAAAACCCCAGTGCTGCATTCACACATCATCCAAACCTGCCATTCCCCACACAACCAGGGCCTTCATTCTGCAGCTGCCACACATCATAAAGAACCCGGGGTGCTGTTCCTACTTTAATCTAACTTTCCCTGATCTTCTAAGAAGCTCCCAAGAGTGGAACAGACTTGATTTGCTCCTGATCTGCACCAGCATCAGGCAAGAATCACACTTGCAGCCTTTACATCACTAGGAGATATTTTTTTTCCCCCACATCCTCAGGGAAGTTTTATCTGCTCTCAAGAGTGATTAACTCTGCTTTAGAATCCTGTGTCTCAAAAATAGCACTATTAACATCATCCTTGGCATAGGCAGAAGTGAGAACAAAACCTCATGGAAGGAGAGAAATCAACAATGGGGACAGAAAGCTTCTGAGACATTGCAAATTTTCCTTCTCTTTAGCAAAGTCCTGATGGATGCACAGGAGCTGGTACCTGGCACAGCATCACAGGCACAATCACACACCAGAACCAAAGGTGGAACCAACCAGCCCCCAAATAATTTTGCTTTATAAGGCAAATCATCCACAGTTGCTACATACAAAGCAAGACTAATTTACTTTTCCTTAGTTAATCATCTTCATTTCCTCCCTCTTCAGCCTCAGCCAATGAGGTGTAAATTGTAGGGGCAGATGCATTTTCTGGGCTGAATTCCAAACTAAATGTTCCTCAAAAAGTCAGGAGGCACTTAGCACAGTATTTGAGTGTTTCAGTGGCATTAGGCACATTAAAATCACTTCATCCTGAAGGCTTTGGCAACACTGTTTTACCCATATTCTTTCTAATCTGATTATGGCAGATTTTGTACCCTGAGAACAAAGACCTGATCTCAGCAAAGAACAAATGTGTCCAAGTGTTATTAGTTCAGGAAAATGAACTGAGGTACCTGGTGCAGCCCCAGGTCCTCTGCTGCCTCTTTTGCAGGTGTGTTGCTGTGAGGTTCCTTTGTGTCCCAAACCTCAGCTGCTCCAGGACCTTCATGAAGGTCCAGATGGTCCCCCTGCAATGAAGAGCACATTGAGGCTCTCTCATAGAGACACCAACCTGGGGTCCTGTCCCAGATCCCACCACTGTCCTGTTGGACTCTTATGCTGGATACTGGCCAGATTCCCACAGGGAGCAATGCACTTCCAAACCCTCCATGTATCACCAGCCTGATAAGCCAAAGAAAATGGTTGGGAGCATTTACATTTCCATGACATACTTTGTTTTATTCCTGACATGAGAAAAAAAGTTCCATTTGGACCTTTTCCCCTCTGGGTGCCAACACACCCTGCTGCACTGTAGGGGTAACTCACAGAGCCAGGAAAAAAGCAATTTTTCTTGCATTCCCTGAGTGCAAAGAAGGCAGAGCCCTTGTTTCCAGGAGTGGGGCAAGCAGGCTGGAGTTGCTGGGAGAACATTTGCAGCTGTGATCTCCAGGCTTGCAAATCAGGAGCCTGAACATTTCCCCACCTCGTTACTGCAGCTCAATCACACAGAGACTCCAGGTACATAAAAACATGGGCCCATGACTGAAAAACTAGTCCCAAAGGGAACTTTTCTTGGGGTGGAACAGTTCCAGCACAGATGCTGATTTCTAATTAGCAAACCTTGCACTGAGGAAGTTCATATATTTTCATTAACTGCAAAAAATATACTTACTGTAAAGGGCATAGAGTCGGGACAATATTTGGAGTCAGAGTATTTCAGAGAGGCCTGTCTTGCTGCAAGCACCATCATATCCAGCACTACCAAAATCAATGCCATATATTTGAATTAAACATGTATTAATCCAGCTATAAAGGACTGGAGCTATCCAGTCAATTTTCTGATTTTAAGTACAGCTTTTGTTAATACAGCAAAAAGAAACCATTTCTCTTTCAACCATAACTCTGATGAGGAAACCTGTCACCAGCCCAGCTTTTTAGTAGCTACCATACCATAATTATTCATCAAACTGACAGAATAAAGATCCTTTTTATCCATCTTATATTTCATCTGAAAGCATTTAGGTGGTTTGCAAGCAGCAGCCTTGCACACAGTCTCAGGACATTGCTGGTAATATTGGCAATAAATAAATCCTGGCAATCCTAGCTGGAGGTGAAGACAGTGTCTCCTGCTTGTACATTATCTATGATCCCTGTTTATGGGGTGGGGGCATGTGTTAATATTAACCAATTCATCTTTTAAATCTATTTCCCAGCCCTACAAATTTTATGGGCGAGATCCTCAAACCCTACAGTATTTCAGTTTTACCAAGCTCTCTCTGAGGGCTTTACTTTCTCTGGGGGAGTTCTCAGTTCCACAGGGGTACAACCAGTCCAACCTTGGTGTGACAGGGAGCTGGAGGTGGCCTGTGGGTGCAACACAGCTGCTGACCCAGCAGGCACTGGGCTAAGCCAAAAAATTGCTGCACAAAGGGGATATCCCAGCTGATAAATTAATATTTACATGCACGTTTGGCATCAGTTGTGACCTCAGAAAGTAAATAAATCTGTGTAGATCTTATATCTGTCATTAGGCAGCAGGGCTGTGCTTTGGGTCAGGACAAATCTGGCTTGGATTCCTTGCTCTACTCAAAATGAGCCAAGAGATCAGAAGCACACAGTGTTCCTGAGAAGAAAGGCTAAGGACCACAGGCTGGTCACACACAACCATCACGGACCTGTTTCCCCACGTAAGGAGGCTAAGGGGCAACAACTTCTGCACAGGTTACCAGGGCACAAACCAGCTTTGCTGGGCACAGGAAACTGCACCCAGCTGGGCAGGAAGGAGCTGGTTGAGTCCCCAGCATTCTGGAACCTGAAGGGATGGAGAGCCAAGAGCTTTTGCAGGGAGTGGCTGCGACACCTGGTGCAACAGGAGAACAGCAAGAGAAGTCATTCTGGATCTACCTGCAGTGTGGATTTCATGGGGGTTTAGAGCAGCCCTTCTGTTACAAAATCATCCATCTCAGTAAGCGTAAAATCCATTAAGAACAAGTCGAGGCTGTCACTTACCAGCAGCTTTATTTTCATTTACATCATATTATAAAGGCAATTTTCATTTGCATTCCTTTGAATTTTAATGGTATCGCCTTGAGCAGCCTGCAAAGAGGCACTGGGAGTTTTCTGGGGACACGTTATCGTGGCTGTAACTCACAGGCAGAGAAGGCTGATCAACTTTAGGTGCTGTGAGGCCAGGAGGCTGGAGCAGATGCTCAGCCAGGGCTCAGCCTTTCTCAGCTCATTTTGCAGGACCCAGGCTGCCCAGCCTCACCCCCACTGTGCAATGGGCACAGGAGCATTCTCAGGTAGTGTTTGCCTTTTATTGAGCTTGGTGGCTTTCTGAGAGACCTGGAGGGTTTACAAGCAGCTGCAAATCCCCTCTGGCTGACAGCATTTCTGTTCTCTCACCTACCCACTGCTGAACAAGTTGTACTAATATTAATCAACTTACATATCCTGTTAAAATTGTAACACACAGGCTTGCTGTAAGAACTCATCTTGATGTGTTTTCAGGGGTATTCAGCACTTTGGTGGTGAGTTTCCCTTGCCATGACTGTGAGTTTTCTACGGTAGCATAAATGGCATCACCTCCAACTGGTGACAAACATCCCCTGAGTTACTCCACACAACGTATCACAGAATAAAATACTGGGAAAACATTTGCAGATTTGCTATAGCAACGTTTTCATCCTGTGGCAGAAATCCAGAAATCTTGCTATCAGACCAACTTTAAATCTCAGTCCTAAAACAAGCACAAAAATCCTGGAAGAGGTTTGATATCTCACAGAGCCACACGTCTCATGGCAGCTCTGACAGGTCCCTTGGGCTGGCAGGTGTCCAGAAAATGGGAGCTCCTTTGGTTTAATACCTTTTCTAGACCTAAAGGCCCACAAAGTGACTGTTCTGGAGCCTGGAAATTACCAGTAAGTGGGGGAATAGAGGAAGGAAAATCAAATTCCAGCTTTTGAACAAAATCAGAGAACAATTTTCGTTCATTCATTTCTAACCCATTGGTTCATCTCAAGCACAATTACTCACCTGGCAGAGCAGGCAGCTCTTGGCACTGCTTCTGGAGCAGCCCCAGGCTCAGCCCCTGGTGTGGTTTGTTCTCCAAGGCGCCCGAGATGCCCCCAGGGCATCAGAGCTGGTTTGGTTGGAGGTCACAGGGAGTTTGACCCAAGCACTTGGGGCTCCCAGTGCACACCAGTGTTCAGGGTTGCAGATAATAACAGTGAGCAGTGGCAATCTGAAAGCAGAGCTCTGCTTCTGAGAAACTTATACAGCTCAACTATTGAACAAACCAAACACAACAATGAAAGGAACCCACCAGAACCAGTCCCCCCACCCCATGGGGTTGCAGGGATGTCTTCTGGGCAGAGCTCTGGCCAGCACACCCTGGGCTGGGAGCCAGGATAGGAGCTGCTGAAC